ATCTCAAGTAAGACAAACAATCCAGTTCGCTCGCGCTCAAAATCACGAAAACCCCTGCCCCTGCCGCAAATCCTCAAATTCATTCATCTCGCGTCATTTCTGAAGCTAGCAAACACAAAATAAATTCACAAGTCGTACCATACCTGACATCGAAGGAGCGGATGCCATCTCTAGTCGAAGAGAGAAATCTCATTGAATCCAACTAGCATTAAATAACAACCACTCCCGTCGAAAGAGAGCCGAAGATGAAAGAAAACACTCAAAATCAAGACCACCGGCGAAATCTCATTCACGGCAACAATCATAACGCAGAGGGAGAAGAAGCGGCTGTAGCTGTGAATCTTCGAACACAGAAACGCATCGGTGATAGAGAATTGAGCAAAGGGGATTGAGCGAAGAAGGCCAAGAGATAATAGTGAGGAAGAGAGAGAGATGTTGAGCTCAGCCAAGGCCACACAAATGCCGTTCGATAATGATTTTATTTTTATGATTTTTCCCCCATTTTCCCCCTTTTATAATTTTGTTTTTTAATTTAATATGAGTGTTTTCTTTTATTTTCTTTTTTTCTCTTTAATTTGAGTTGGATTTTTAAGGTGTTAATTGGGGTGAAAATTTTCGGCACTAGGTGAGTACCTACTTTCTCTTTATTTACTCGTACTATAATTTTATTTTTGTAAATAATTATTTAATATCGATAATTCCACATCATTTTTATAAAATAATAAATAAAATAAATATTCATACTCCTGTGAATTTATTGTACAACATAACAAAATCAATCGACTTACTGCACGATATCTAGTTTCTCTCATACTTTTGAAGACCGTCAATCTCTTTGAGCTTTGATGAGTTCTGATTTTATGGTTTTAATAACATATACGTCAATTGTTTTGTTATGTTATCATAAATTTAGTGTGAATGAGATGAAATATAACAAAAGTGAAAAATAATTTTAGAACTTGCTGCTTGTCAAATAATTATTTATCCAAGATTATAGCTCTAGTAGCAGTATGATATCACTCCAGAGTGTAATATTAGAAAAAATAAAATAATACAATAACCATTTTAAATTACGTTTATAGAGTTTTTGTAGTACAAAATTATGTATTGACAACCAACTATTACTATAATTAATTATTGTACTAAAAAAATTTAATTATACTATAATTATAGTTCATTAATGTAAAAATCAATCCTTCATAAATCTATAAAATCAACAATTATATTCAACTAAAAAAATCAATGACTACCTTTTTAAGAAATTAATAAATTTATGCCAATCAATCACATCAAACAAATATATATAGATGTCAAAGCCAACAAAACTAAGCGTTAATTGGCATATATCTCCAACTAAAAATCTCTCATTGTCAATATGAGTATAATTCAATTAGTCGGGAAATTTGAATTTTCATCTCTACTGCACTAAATAACAAAAAGGCAATCTATGATTAATAATTTTATAAAAAAATATATATTTATTAAAGAATATTTAGAAATATATATTATATCATATCTGTAATTAATCTTTAAAATATTAACCTACCCATTCAAATTAAGCTATTTTTCACTTGTCTAAATATATTTACAATATAATATACATTTTTCAAAGAGCTATGTTTATTTTAAAATTTAAAATTTGTAATTTTCTATTCAATATACTAGCTTTATTTTTTGAAGTTAAACTATGGAGTAAAGATTTCAACTACATAAATAATATTGTATTAATTACTTGAGTTACATGAACCTTTTTTTTCCGTTAAACTCTTGTAATTACGACTAGTTGATGTCATTAAGTTTATATTAAATCAAAAAATTTCACAAAGAAATAAAAATTGAAACTAGAATGATGAGAGACAAATTTGATTATCGCCTCGCCAACAAATTTAATTATATTTAAATATCTTATTTCTGAGGTGCTTAAGTAGGTGGCTTAAAATACTTTTTTCAAAAGACATGTCAAATACATTTCCAATTAGTTTTATTTTAAATTAATTATAAAACAAGAACTTCGCATCAAAATTATTTTTTCAATATAAAAATCACACACACTTTTAACAGAGTATTCTATAAAATATTTTTAAAAAAATAACAATAGTCAACATGTAATATGAACATAACTTGACAGTGAAAGCATATAACTCGTTTATTTCAAATCTCTCACATTTGTTGAAATAAAATACATCCATACATTTATAGCTAACAAATGGTAAAATTTTGACTACTTTAAGTATAGAATAAAATATTTTATTAATGTTAAATCACTTTGAATTTTTTATTTTTATCTTCCAGAGAATAAGAACATTATGAATAAATTCCATTGAGGTGATAAGATTACCACATAACAAGGTTTTTCTACATCAACTTGGCTTCTATTCTATTTTACTTATTGTTTTTCTTTTTTAAACATTTCCTTCTATTCTTAAAGTAATTTGCGTATAAATATATTTTTCCAGAAAGTCCTTCATTTACGAATTTGAACTTTTGAAGGGTTTATAAAGTCATACCTTTCTTGCTACTCCCAACCAACACAATTTATACATTAATGAATAAAGTAAACTTTTCTAAAAAAAAAATATTAATAATAAATAAAAGTAGACTGACCAATCAAATTACAATAAATGAGTTTATTTGCCCACTTAAACATAGTTTTGTAAATAATATATACAAAAAAGTAGAATGTTCCACTCTTAACTCCTACTTGTTGTTGAACAGAAAGAAAAAAGTTTGTATAATAATTATTTTGTTTTTCCATTTGCAAAAAAAAAATAACTGGTTTGTTGAGTGCAACATATATATTTTGTTTTCTATTTTTCATGATATTTACCGTATTTAGGTACGTATATATATATTTTTTATTTCAACTACATGTAGTAAAGTAGAAGAGATTGTAATAGGTGGTAAAACTAATTGTCCTATTTACAAATTTGTTATACTGAAAAATAATTTGTAAAGATGACAAAATTTTCGCTCATATTATTGCTGACATAATTTTGTGTATTTGATAAAATATATCACTGATGTACCAATATAAAATTTATCACTTATATATCATTTTTTAGTGTTTGATAAAGAATATTATTGATATATGAGTTCTTGCATTTGCAGGCAAATGATACTTAAAAAGTCTAGAAAACAATATCTTTTAATCTTAAAAAGCCATATATTTTTAAAATACACCCAAATTACACCTAAAAGCTTATTCAATTTTGGCGGATAATGGTAGGTTGTTATTAGAAAATATATCTATACATGTATCAATTTTAAAAAATTACTATATAGGTCAATTTTTAAAACTGACATGTTTTAATTATAGAAAAAGAAATTGATATAAAAGGCAAAGGGTAGAAATGTAATTAAAAAATTTGCCAGTTTTTTTCGAAGCCTCAA